CAGCACCAGCAGCAGCGTTCGTGGTCCCGTCAAGCTTCTGGAGGCAATCAGGCCAGGCGCCGCATTTGACGCCCTAATGGACGATACCGTTTGCTCTTTCGTTACAGATGTTGTTCCCATGTCCCTCCCAATGGTACCCGCCCTCATCCTTCCATCCTGATCGACACCATTCGGGGATCGCCTGACAAACTTTCTCCCTGCATGGGAAAATATCTCCTCAGATGCATGGGTTTTAAAGATTGTCGACGAAGGCTATGCATTGGAGTTCGAAGAGCTCCCACCAACAGGGCAGATTGTTGATACCGAACCATCCTCGGCAATTCTGACAGAGGTCGAGACCTTGCTTCTGAAAGGGGCAATTTCCCCTCTTCCGGACTCTCAAAACCATCGAGCCTTCTTCTCCAGGTACTTTACTGTCCCGAAGCCGGATGGCTCCCTCCGTCCAATCCTCGATCTCAGAGACTTAAACTCCTTCATCGAACCCCAAAAGTTCCGGATGGTGACGGTATCGTCCATTCTTCCTCTCCTCAGATACGGAGACTTCTTCGCGTCCGTCGATCTCCGGGACGCTTACTTCCATCTCTCAGTCAGAAAACATCACAGACGCTTCCTGGCCTTCAGGGTAGTGGGACAGACGTATGCCTTCAACGTGCTCCCGTTCGGGCTCGTGAAGGCATCGAGAACTTTCACCAAATGCATGTCGGTGGTCGCAGCAGCCCTCAGAAGGGAAAAAATCCGCATTTTCCCATACCTAGACGACTGGTTGTTGGCAGCACGCTCCCCGGACCTCCTGCGAACGCAGGTGGCAAGGACGCTTTCCCTCCTCGAAGACCTGGGCCTCCAGCTAAACGAGGAGAAATCTCATCTCGAGCCCACCACTTACATAAAGTTCATCGGCACCATGTTCGATTCTCTCTCTCAGTCAGTTTTCCTTCCAGAAGAGAGATTCAGGGCTCTTCGAGCCGAAGCACTCAAAGTGCGTCGAGCCCGAGTGGTCCCGGCGAAGCAGATTCAGGTCCTCCTCGGGCATATGGCCTCCACGGTGATGGTGACACCATTGGCGAGACTCCGCTTCCGTCCCCTCCAGAGATGGTTTCTGGACCACTTCAATCCCATGCGGGACAGTGCTGCGAAGCGCTTGCTGATACCAAAGTCGGTAAAGGACTCCCTGAGCTGGTGGATGAATTGCCAGCATGTCTGCAGAGGCATTCCATTCCACCCAGAACCCCCAGCTGTCACGATCACGACGGACGCCTCGATGTTCGCATGGGGATGCCATA